GGTGGAAGATATAATTGATGTGTTCTTTGTTTCAATTTGCAAGTGTTTTATTGAGTATTTTTGCATCAATGGTCATGAGTGAAATTGGTCGGAAATTCTCTTTCTTTGTTGAGTGTGTGGTTTAGATATCAGGGTGACTATGGCTTCATAGAATGAGTTTAGAATCTGGAAATATCCTGGATGTCCCTCAACCAAAGAATGGATAAAGAAACTGTGGCACATTTACATAATGGAATACTACCCAGCAATTAAAAGCAAAGAAATCATAAAATTTGCAGGCAAATGGATGGAGCTAGAAAAGACTATCTTGAGTGAGATAACACAGACCCAGAAAGACAAACATGGCATATACTCACTTATAAGTGGATTTTAGCCATATAATCAGGATAAACATACTACAAAGCACAGAACCAAAGAAAATAAGTAACAAGGAGGATCCAAGGGAGGATGCATAAATCTCACTCAGAAGGGTAAATATTATAGACAGAGGTAGTGGTTGAAGAAAGAGCACAAGAAAGGAGAGGGATGCAGAGAGATATGAGTGTAGAGATCAGAACTAAAGAGAGCAGGGACAAGAGAACAAAAGGCCCATAGAGAAAAAAGAAATTGAGGGGGGGGGTATCTTGGTGACAAGCTACAGATTAAAGTCAGGGTAGGCTCCTGGGAGGAAAAGGGGGCCACCCAAGCAGAGATGCCTAGTAGCAGAGGCCATAGAAACTGAAGAGGACACCCTCTAGCTAGACAAGTCTAGTAGAAGGAGAGAAACACCAACCCACCCACAAAAACTTCAACTCAAAATTTAGCCCCCCCAACAAGTTGAGCAGGGATAAATATAAAGCAGGTAGAGTAGAGATTGAGGAAATGTCCAAACAATGCCTGACGCAACCAAAGACCCACCCTTTGGGAGAGTCCCAACCTCTGACACTATGAATGATACTCTCCTAAGCTTGCAGACAGAGGCCTATCAGAGTTGTCCTCTGAGAGGCTCTACCTAACCGCATCTCAAAACAGAGGCTGAGATTCACAGCCAAAGATTGGATAATGTGTAAGAAGTCTGGTGGAAAAGTGGGAGGAAAGGACCTGGAGCTCTACACGAAAAACAACAGAGCCAACTAATCAGAGCCCAAAGGGGTTTTCTGAGACTGAAACATCTACCAAGGACCATGCATGAACTGGACCTACGACCCCTACAAAGATGTAGCCGATGGGCAGCTTAGGCTTTATGTGGGTCTTCTAGTAAAGGAAGTGGGGACCTCATCTGATAGGGACTCTCTTGCCAGCTTTTTGATCACTTTCCCCTTGCCAGACCACAGGGGAAGAGGACACACTCAATCCTAATGCAACTTGATGAGTTGGGGTGGATTGGAAGGAGGACTCTCCTTTTCTGAGGAATAGAGAAGGGGGAAGGAGAGTAGTACTGAGAGGTGAAGACAGATGGGGCTACAATCAGGATGTAAAGTGAATAAAAAATAAAAATAAATACATATATAATATATAGTTGTGTATATGTACATATATATGTGCACACATACAAACAGGTTTATAGTTGAAGTTAAATATAAATATATAATAAATGAAGTTGTATCACTTGCATTGATAATGTTCCCCTCAAGAACCGTAGACTACCTTACAAAAACTCCAGGGATAGGCATGCAAAAATCTCACTTCAAGTTTGGTAGCTGTGAAAATCTAAGAAACTCTTAAAACAGTATAGACTATTACCATTGCCTTTGATTGCCTCCCAGAACTTGAAGCTAAGACCCTACTGCTGAAAACAACACATGCTTCAGACACACAGGACTTAGAAGAATCCAGGTGAAATCAACCTGTAAATCTCTTCACTGAGGAATAGCTCTTCACTGTTCTCAGAGGTGAGACACAAGTTTCCAAGAAAGAAAAGCAATTATAAGTCTTTACGCTGCTACAAAACCTACAACCACAACAACCAGAACAGCAAGATATCTCTGATGATGCAAAAGTGGCACTTATATCTTCGGAGTAACGAATAGCTGTCTACTAAGACTTAACTTCTGGCCAATTGGAGGAATTTCATGAGTTGTACTGTAAACCTAGCCAAGTAACAATGGCTGGTGAGGTTACAGACCCTAGAACCTGCTACTGCTCCTGCTACTTTCCTAAAATCAATATAATTCCTAACTACATAATAAATTCTTACCCTATAATCACAGCTAGGTGTAGCTCTCACCCCTCATCAAAGAAACTTTGTTTTGAAACAGATGGATACTATAACAGAAATCCACAACTGGTCAAAATGCGGAGAACAACTGACTCTAGATTTAGAGCTAGAGGCAACCAATGGCTGCTAAGAGGAGGAGAAACATTCTTCAGAGCCCCTGATAAGTTATATGATTTCAACAGGTCAGTCCTAAACACATGGACACCACTAAAGGTACTCAGCAGCTTGTTCCTATATATACATATATATGAACTATATATACATGTATATGAACTATATATAACAATAATAACTAAAGAAGTCAATAATTTTATAGGATGTTAGATGTGAGAAAAAGGGTGGCAATGATGTTAACATAGTACTCTGTATGAAATTCTCAAAAATGAGACTTCGTCCTGTAGCAAATGGAACCAAATACAGAGACCCACATTCAGACATTGAGCTCAGGGAACCCTGTAGAAGAGAAGGCATAAGGAGTCGAGAAAACAGAGGGGATGGGAGACACTAGGAGAACAAGGCCCTCTAAAACAACTGAGCAAAAACCATATGAATTCACAGACTGAAGCACCAATTACAGGGCCTACAAAGATCTGCACCAGGTCCTCTAGGTATATACTATAGCTTTCTCTTTAGTACTTTTATAGGGCTCCTGAACATGTAAACTAATGAGTCTCTAATGTTTGTGCCCTCTCTTTGAGCTCTTTTATTTTTCTGTTGGCTTTGCTTGTCAAACCTTAATAAGACAGTATTCATTTTATCTTCCTGTATTTTATTTTGTTATATTTTGTTGTTATCTCTTAGAAGCCTGTTCCTTTCTAATGAGAAACAGGAAGGGAGTAGATCTAGATGGGAAAGGAGCTGTGGAGTAACTGTGGGGAGGAGAGGGAAGAGAAAGCATAATAAAATTATGTTGTATGAGAAAAGAATCTATGTTTGATAAAAGGCAGTAAGCTGTAGAAACTTGAAAAGAAATTCTCAAAAATTTTTAAATTAAAAATAACTAATATTAGAAACTCAAATTAAGAAACTCCACCAGTGATACCATAGTAAAATTTTTCCTAAAAAAAATCTATTTTACAGAGGAGGAGAACAAAAAAAAGTCTATTTTATATGAACAAATAGGGAAATGTACTTTTAAAAAATATCATGAAACCCAACTCAGCATTTTATGGATAAATATTTATACACAAGGGCTGTCAAAGAATTTCCATACAACCACACAGTTATCTTCTAGGCAGTGTTCAGGACATGCCAGCCCAGCAGAGTGGGATTCTGTGGCACCTTTTAAAGCCCAGTCAATGTTCCCATTGGTGTTCCTAAGCACACATCCTTGGTATTCTCAGAGTAGAAAGTTCAGGCTTATAAAGTGATGATAATGTCTCTGACTTGACTGACAGACAAGCCTGTGAGTGACAGAATCTCTTCAATATAAACCTGGATGTCCTCTGAGAGCTTGAACATGTTTCCAGGCTGTCACTAAAACATCCCTTGAAAAAGTGAGTCAGTGAGAAAAACCCTAATGAGTGGGCTTGGACTCTGTTTAAATATTGCCATGTGGTCTAAAAACTGAAGGTCTGGGTGTGGTTCATTTTGTTGGTTGGTTGCTTGGTTTTGTTTTGTTTTGTTTTCAGCATTCCATGCCACCATGTCAAGATCTGGACAGGACCATGGTGTGGAAACACTAATTTCATGTGCAGGCAGTTAATTCTGCTATGAAAATTTTTAAAAAAGAAAAGAAAAGAAAGAAAGAAAGAGAGAGAGAGAAAGAAAGAAAGAAAGAAAGAAAGAAAGAAAGAAAGAAAGAGAGAGAGGGAGGGAGAAAAAAGAGAGAGGAAGGAAAAAAGGAAGGAAGGAAGGAAAGATAGAAAGAAGGAAGGAAGGAAAGATAGAAAGAAGGAAGGAAGGAAAGAAAGAAAGAAAAAAGAAAGAAGGAAGGAAAGAAAGAAGGAAGGAAGGAAGGAAGGAAGGAAGGAAGGAAAGAGAAAGAAGGAAGGAAGAAAGGAAGGACGGAAGGAAAGAAGGAAGGAAGGAAGGAAGGAAGGAAGGAAGGAAGGAAGGAAGGAAGGAAGAAAGAAAGAGAGAGAGAGAAAGAAAGAAAGAAAGAAAATCAACTCAACTCTGGAAAATAATCAAAGTTAAAGAACACTACAACTCATCAGAGGACCTAGGTGGGATTCTTAGCACCCATATGGCATCTCATAACTGTCTGTAATACCAGTTTGAGGAGATCTGATGCCCTCTTCTGGCCTCCTTGGGCACCAGGCAAGCGTGTGGTACACAGAAGGGTACGCAAGCACAGCATCCATATATAAGTGTATATATATATATATATATATATATATATATATATATATATATATATATATTAAAGGTAGAAAGGCTTTGTGATATTGTGTCTGTCCTTGTCCCACCTGTCTTCTTGGTTTGAAAATGGCCTTGAAAATGGGACCTTTAAATTAGTATGTGGCTTCCTTTTGTGTTGGGGATCAAACCCAAGGCCTTGTGCAAACTACACAAGCACCCCACACTAAGATCTATCTTCAGCCTCTCTCTTCATTTCACCTACTCCTTCCTGTGTAATTGAGAGGGAGAAAGAGAGGGAGGGAGGGAGGGAGGGAGGGAGGGAGGGAGGGAGGGAGGGAGG